TTAAAAATCAATAGCCTGATAATTACAATATTTCTAGATTCTAAAAAAAAAAAAATACCAAATTATGATAAATATAATGATGAAGATTTGTGATTATTGCATAAGTCTCACATGAAAGGTAGTGTTTCCTCAGGGTTTATACTATTAAAAATAACCACGCAATGTATGACATTGATTTATGAAAATTCTCTTATTTTGCACTGTATTTTATTTTCATAGTACCTTAAGTTTCACAACACTGGTAGTTTTCACACATTTCAGATGTTAACAGCTTCCTATTTCCAAATTTTAATATGTTAATGACCCCTCTAGTTCCTGCATATATCCAGAAATCTAAGCACTTAAAAAAAACCAGTCAGTTAAGGCTAAAAAAAAGTTGGTTGGTTGTTTTTTTCTCCATTATGCTACACACAGATAAATTATCTATGTTGGAGACACAAAATGGTTTAGATTTATGGTCACTAAAAGCTCTAAATAGGTAATCTGGCTTCTCTTCAAAGGAAACACTGAGGAATGTGGTGAATATTAAGCACTGCCACTCCAGATATAGGCAGCCGACCTTTAGACTGCTTCCTGCCTGCACCTTTATTTCTGCCTTAAGACACTGCCAGATTTTTAAAACCTAGATCTTTCCTTTGGGAAAATGAATAAAGGAGTCACTTATGCAAAGGAGTGCTGTCACTATGCCTATCAGATCAAGCACGTCAGGGAATGCTGACAAAGAATGGCCTAGTTTTATGGATCCTGGAAGAGCTTATGTATCGTGTAAATGTTATGATCTTTACCCAAGATGAGGCACTGCCAAAAATAGCCAAAGGCATAGCTTTAGGGCATATTAATATTGAAATTTTAGGCATTTCCCATTGTTTCTTAAGAAACAATTTTTTGAGGTCTGCAATTTTTGAATCACACACCTACTGCTTACTAGGCTTTAGCTTCCAAAGTCCTCTTATGAATACAATACAGAAGAACTGAATGCTTAGCACAGATGGAAACCAGACATTGAAACAGATGGTTTAAAAAAAAAAAAAAAAAAAAAAAAAAAAAGTGAGTTAGAATATACTTGTCAGTACTGTTAACGGTACACAAAACTACAAGTGTGCTAAAATTCCTATTGGAATATGCTAAATGTATTAAGGAAATAAACACTGCCAGACATTGCAAAAGAATTAAGACAAATTAAACAGGAGATAAAAATAAGTCAAAATACAAAATAAATATTCCTCACTACAATTACAGAACCACTCACACTGTATAAATAGAAACTCTGGCACATGCTCTATGTACCAGAAAGAAATTATAGGTGCATATACAAAAATATAAAAAATCCTCCCCTTAACCTTATATCCAGTATTTTCTCCACATAATATCTTAGCCATTTGCTGCAATGCCTGTAGTGCTAGGAGCAGCCAACAGGTATTGGGAGTCTGTCATATCTGTCTCACAGAAGGGAATGAAATTCAAAGTCAGTCTTATTTTTTTATTGAAATTGACCTTCATTACTATACTTCATACTTTACATTTTATACTAGTACTTCATTTACTATAGTAAAATGCAAATGGTAAACAATGCTGCATTCAGCTGCCTCTCTGTTCAGACACTCTCCTCTTCAGGCATTTGTTCAAATTTTTGTTGTTCAGCTGGGTTCACGTTTTAACAACAAAACAATAACAGATCAGGTGTTAACCTTGTTGGTTTGTTTGGGTTGAGGGCGGGTTGTTTGTTTGGGAAGCTTGGTGGGGATTGGCTGTTTGCTTGATTTGTTAGTTTTTTGTTTGATTTTTTTTGGGGGGGAGGTTGTTTGGTTTTGTTTTGTTGGGTGTTTTGGGTTTTTTTTTTTGTTTTTTTGTTTTTTTAACATTGAAACAGTCTGATTGGATCCTGGCTTATTTAAAAATGAACCTCACTGACAAAAATGCATTTGGAATTCTTGTGTATACATAAGACAAAATTTAACGATTTTATCCAGCATTTTTCAAGTCATTAAATATATGAGAAATCAGGTCAAAGCAAAAGCTTAAACTAATCAGAATATTTAAATTTTAAGTTGCTACCTTTCAGAGATGAATTTCTCTCTCACATTGGGAACCTATAAGCTGCCACCAGTTTATCAGTCTGAGTACTCTTTTGAAGCTAGCTTTGGATTACAGATAGCAGTTAGATCAGTGTAATTTTAAACATCTAAAAAGCTTCCCCTTGTGAACTTAAAAAGGCTTCTCACGGGTGAAGTAATTTTCTGTTTTGTGACTGTCCATCCATTATTTCCTTTCATTGTTGTTTCAAGGGGGAGTTATCAGTCTTGTAATGGTCATGTAAGGTGAGAGAATGTGAAAGAGACAGAAGGAAAGAAATCCTAAATACAAATGTGCAACTTGTTTACCAAAGGAAATAAGAAGACCCCTGGAGATTGCCTCTTATTTCCATATGAATGAATGGATACAGTAGCAACAAGGGTGAAAGCAGAAAGAGTGATTGTACTTGAGAAATAAAAGTCAACTAGGCAGTCACAAAGCCTCAGCAAAGTAAGTGACAGCAATCTGGAGGGGGACTGAGAAAGAATTTGGAACTGAAGGGCTACAGTTCAAGAATACCTACAAGGAAGAAAAAGGGGAAGTCCAGAGAACAGGGTCAAGGATGAAACAGCAAGACTTCGTATGGGCAGGAAAGAAGATATATACTAGAAAAAAAAAAATAAGTTGGGACAAAGAAACAGAATAGGGTGTAATCTCTTATGTCTTTAGCTAGATACTGTCTTCTATACAGAAAAGATGGTGAAGAAAAGATGGTTCTGAACAAAAGATATCTCCTATTCATTGAAGGGTAAGTCACTTTGCCTTTACCACCACAATGTATATCCTAACCATTGCCTCAGAGCAGCTAAATAAATTCATAATCTAGACCAACTCATACTTTTTTCTTCTAAGAAATCTAAAGTTAAATTTAATTCCTTGATTTAATTTCATTTCATTAAATGTAGTAAACTGCTCTGAGATTGCTCAAACCAACTTGCACATAACTTGCTCTATATAAAAATATTATTTGATAGGATCATCTCATTTCTTTTTAGGTACTCTTCACAACAGTTTAGTGCTGAAAAGTACAATCCATAACATTTCAGTCCTTCCAGAAACTGACACTGGTAAGCAATAACAGATACTAATTGGTCAAATGAAATATTGGTTTTAATGATATGTTAATAATCTTAAAGAAAGTCTCCAACTACCAAAGAATTACTACAGATTTGCATCCATAGTATCGAAAAAATAAAACTTTACTTTGCAATGTGCATAGAAGATGCACATTACTTGGCAAAAAATAGAGAAAATCTGTGAATTACAAAAAATTATTGTGCAATTATAAGCAATGTAAGTGCATGAGGAAAGTACAAAGAATAGCGGGGAAAAAAAAAAAAAAAAAGAAAGAAAGAGAGGGTAACAAGAGCTACAATGGTTGATAGACTTCCCCTAGAAGGCTTAGGATACCTTATACCTTCCAAACCATATCTATAACACAAATTCCTGTACTTTTTTTTCCTACTCTTTTCAAAACACTTTATTTGCATATTCTACGTTTATGAAGTAAGGATATTTAACCACCTTTATTTCAAATGAAAATACCTGTGGAGAATTCAGAGCCTATAAGAATTACAGTTCCTATACTATACACCTTAATCCAGTTAATTAGGAGGCTTAACGAAGTCATTTTTGGTCTGACCTACGACTGCAAGTCAAATGTAAAACATCATTCTTTTCCTGACTACGTCGCCCACCTGTTGAATTCCTCTTGCTACAAAGAGCCAGCAGAGGCGGGATTTTGTGGGTACTCTGAAGCCCGAGGTCCGGGGCTGCGGGCGGTGCCCGTGCTGTGACTGCAGCACCACGGACAGCGGCCTCCGGCGCGCCGCCCCGGCTGGTGAAGCGACGGCAAACGCCCCGCAGAACGCTCCCTACCTCAGCCCTTCCTCTCCGGCTGCAACAATACCGTATGGCACGCCTTTCAAAGAGACTACCCTGTATCAAACTCTCTGGAGAGTCATTACTGAATTCATACTCTTATTACAGTATTGTTGAGCACAGAGAGGGCAATCATCTCAGGGAAATTTGCTGACGTTCAATGAGGGTAAAATAAATTGCATTAAATGACAGTGTGTTGACACTGCTGAAGTAGTCTTCATTCAAGAACCTGTAAATACTAAGTTCCAAAGGAAGGAAATAATGGAGTACAAGTCAGTAACTTGGAATGAATCAAGGTGCCATAAAATATGGCATAAAAAACACTACAATACTGTACTTAGATTATATGCAGATTAATAAATCCAAATAACATGCCAGAGGTCAAGCTAAAGAAATTCCTCCGCTCCCTTCAAATGCAGGCCAGACTCTTCTGGTTTTAATTTTGAAAATAAATAAATAAATAAATAAATAATAAAATCAATCACTGAAGAGCTCTTTGGGACTTTTAAAATTCATTTCTAAAAGCACAACCACTGCTATTCAAATCTCATGGGCTGTTTTGGAGACAGGGGAAAGGTTATTGACTTATGCTGAGTAAAAACTCTTTGAGTTCACATTTCATTCACAAAGAATCATTCACATGCACCAGATCACAGCCTTTCTGGGGTACAAGAGACCCCATGCTCTATCAAAGAGTGTATTTACCTGTCTAAAGATAATGGCATGTAAAGGAAACTGAAAGGAGCTGGGACTGGCTAAGTGACATTGGTTTTTACTTTCACCACTTTAAAACCCTGACTATCCATTTCAGAGACTAACATAAAATGTGCAATATAGTTTACAAAAGCCTTAACATAGTATGTTTAACCCAAAGAAACTCTCAAATGCAGGCATGACAAAACTGCTTCTGGAATTAGGCTACACATTCCCTCACAAAGGCCTATTCTGACTGGGTGGTTTGAGAAATTGGAGACTCTTCCATTTCAAGTGATATTTTGCAGAAGCCAGAAGCATTTTGCTCTCTCTCACAGGTAATTTCTTCCTATAACAATACATTACTGAAAGGCCCAAACTGCACTGCAGTCATCACTTTAAAATACATATTGCAAAACAAAATGTAAATTATCTGCAACAGGAACATTCATGCCCCTCTTCTGTACTAGGAACTATGAATATTCACAGCCCTACTCCTGTGTGGAATTCGAGTTCTAAAAGAATATGAGTGATGGTGGTGTAATAAAAAGCAAGCATCACAACCCAATATAAAAAGTCCAAATCATTTTGATTACATACCTCCACTGCTATATGCCATTGGTTTTTGAGGACTTCCAAGTGTGGGGGTGAGCACACCATCACCACACAAACCTAAACTGCAAAGTTATCCAGATCTCTACAGTCATGCAAAGTACTGTATTAATAACTAGCTGACATTTTTACAGGAAAATAAAAATTACATACATAATACAGCAATAACAAAAATGTAAAATAATTCCTCTTAATTGAACAGAAAAAAAAGAGTTCATTGACTGATGCAATTGTGGTGGGGAAAAAAAAAAAACAAAACAAAAACAAAAACACACCAACCCACAGCTTATTTATTACAATATTTTAAAAATTTTTGCTGCACTTTTTATGAACATTTCTTGCAAAAATTTTGAATTAAGAGTGTGAAAAAAATGGTAAACAATTCCACAGAGGTACTTCAATGTAGACCTGCTCTAAATACCAATTTCCACTCTAAGTAGAACATGCTTATTCATTCCTTTGATATTATAAATTCACAAGTGAAAACTCAGTACTATCATTACCAAATAAGGGTTTAGGAAAGAAAAAAACAAAACAAAACAAAAACAACCAACCAAACAAAACCCAACAATCAACCAAAACCAAAACCAACCCAAACCAGTGTCACAATTTCAAGAGGAAAAGATACCAAACTGTAACAAAGACCATTTCAAGGTAGCTGCAATACAGTGATTTAAATCTTCTACTTGATAACACCATACAATCCCCTGCCCCCGCAACTCTCCCCAAAGTATTAAAAATTGTTAAAACACCTAATGTGTGAAACAGGAGGAAACTGGTGGGAAAGGAAACTATGCTATCATTTATTTCAAGGAATAAAAAAACAAAGCACCATAAACCAAGGAAAATCTTATGGGTCTGCCTCATTTGCATACATACTGACACACCACTTCTATCAGCTCATCTGATGGGAGCCAGGCCACAAACCTTGAGGGCAGCAAGCAGGGTAAATGGAGTCAAGATAAATACAGACTTCCAGCTACTGTGCTGCAGCAGAAGTTTCCTCTGGCTTTGAAGATAAATGGAACCTGAGTAACTACCAGAAGAACACCAAGCTGATTATACTAAGTCTTCTCTTCTACATCTATACCTATATTTATTTTTTCAGTCTTCCTGGAAATGCTTCTGAAATTTGAATTGAAGAGTTATAGAAACAACACTGCATTTTTAGGTATAGGATGATATAGATAATAAAAGATATTTTAAATAATAAAAACACAGATTAAGGATTCTGTGCACAAGGCCTTAAAATCAGCAACACAGCTAACCAAAATGCGCAGTAAATTGTATCTAAGTCAGTGAAATTGCACATATTTAACCTTGAGCCTGTTCCTTTTTTGTTCTTTATCTGGGTCAGAATGAATGAAAACTACCAGGGTCTGTGGTGTTTTAAAAACAATACCACTTTTTTTTTTCTACTTTAATATCAAGTAAACCAACATATTACCACAAACATCTCTATTTGTACTGCTTCCAGCTGGAATACTTTTTAATTACAAAATAATCTAGCAACTTCAGGGAGAATCTACTTGAAACTGCTTCCCAAGGAAAAATACATGTGAGTGGATAGGAGCCCCCAGCCTAGAGACTTCTGTGTGCTGAAACTACCCATTTTTTTCCAATAACTACCAGCAGATAAATACCACAAATCAAAACAAGGTATGCATACATAATGAAAGCTGAAAGAAGCCACAAGTTATCCTTTGAGATATTATTGTGGACAGGCAAGAGTCCTAATTATAGATAGAAGTATTGAGATTTTAAGCAATAACTACATTTACTAGTAATTAAAGAGGAGAAATTGTGGGGCGCAGCAGAAGTGTACCTAACTCCATAAATTTAAAAGTACCTCACAAGTTATATTCTAGGCTTATTAGTAAAAATAATTGCAAATATATCAGAAAAGCAATCTAAGTAGTTCAGGAAAGGATAACTTTTTTTTTTTCTTTTTTATTCTGTTTATTAAAGAAAGCTCCTAAAGAACAAGATAAGTTCAGAATATCAAATCTGTCTTACATGAAGCACTGAGAAGCCATGTTTCTAAGTACTGCTGTCAGGAAATATAAAGACAAAGACAATAAGTATTATTTGTTGTCTACTAGCTCTGCTTCTTTTGGGGTACAAAATAGACAGATAGGAGAAAAGGTAAACACTGCAGAAAGAAGAGTAATGATCCGGTCTGTTTCCAGCACTGGTCTGTAGCCTAAGAAATGAACCCTATTCTTCCCATGCTATAGGACACAAAGATGTATCGTGTGAACACACAAGCAGATCAAATTATTTTTTTCTTAACTTGCAACTTCATGCTGCTTTATTGTTGTTTATATATGTTAGTCTTGCTGAAAACAGATTTTTAGCGTGTTCTTAAGCATTAAAATTCATTATCAAAATTAAAAGGAAATTTAAAAGGAATTTTGCAGGATTTAGACTGAAGTGCACGCTATAGGACCCTTCTTATTGTCTTACTTCTTCATCACTTTCAGGGTGAGGATAATAATAGTAGCAAAAAACTTCAAACTGTAATGGATCTATCACATAGTAACTAAAAATTAAAATATAAACTAATCACATCTTAAGTGTCAGCATTTTGAAATACCTTCTGTGTTCAAAAACTATTCCCTTGTCTAAAAATGCAAATTAGCCAGGAATGACTGGTTAGCAGCTGTGTAAGAAATCTTATTATCTGAAATTTTTCTTCTTCATATTTAAAAAATCATATAAGATTTTTTACTCTACTTTAAGAGAGCTTTCAGCATCTTGTTCTTATCTTTAAATAAATAGATATATAGGAATAAAGAATACATTTAGAATAAAATACAAATTTCTATTTGAAAACCAAGAAAACTCATACAGAAATTAACAAATAGCACTTTCTTTGTCATTGAAATGAAGCTACCTAGTATGCTTCATTAAACAAACTATTCCAAAATCAACTTTATCATTTAGCAATCTTCAGGCTGAAGGTAGGAATAAATCATATGACACTGCCCTACTGGAAAGAAGCTTAGGGTATAGTTTATTACAGCAAATAAACAGGACTTTGATTCACTCATGTAACCACTCCACAGAGACACGCCACTTTCAACACCAGTCTTCTCACCATTTGGATTAATCAGTTAACTGAGAAAGACACATACCAAGCTGTCATCACTTCTCTACTTCCATTCTAAGACTCCTTCAGTCAAGAAAATAACCATAAATTAAATTCTAGACTACCACAACAGGTACACCTGAGATCAGTACCCAGATTAGTAGCCTTGAAGGACTGGGCAGTAATCTTAACATACCCTATCCTGAGGGATTTTTTTGTAATTACAGAAAAAAAACCCAAACACCAGTACACAAACCAGCACATTTCATTCACAGTGGTTTCAAATCAATAAAAGCAACAAGAAGTCATCAAAAAAACACTATTTCTTTCACAGCTGCGAAGTGAAATCAGACTTGAACAATATTGAAAATGAGAGAGGCTCATGCCCAAAATTCATCTCATCAATATTCTTTCTGAGGAGTAATACAGAGCATCACAATATCCTTCAAAAATCTGCACTATCAGTGACACTTAATAGTGATTCAGCAACATTTATTTTTAGTCTTATTATGAGGTGGAAACCTACCTTCTTTGTTCTTCTCCATGTTCACCTGAAGGGACTGTCAAACATTCATCCATGTGGCCATGCAACAACCTCAGAACATCCCCTCCTATCAGATATCCTTGAATAAACAGAATAAAGCAAGTGCATTTTTCGGAATACAACAGCACATAAAACTATAGTTCAAAGTGTAATAAATATCATCATTTTTTTTTTCTGTTGGTATTTTATGTCAATTGGAAAAAAAAAAAAAAAGGCAAAAGAAGGGGAAGATATCTGGTACTCTGGGAAGCACGCTGAACATTGCCATGTCAGAAAAGCTCCAAGTCAGCAAGTAGGAAAGGCTGGATCAGAAGAAAGAGCCACAGTCAGGAGATTCTACAGAGTTAGTGAAACCCAGAAGACTGAAGGAATAAGGAAGCAAGTCACAACAGAAAAAGTGAGAGTCTTCTTTTCCATTTTACCCACTCACTTTTGGGTTTGACTTAAGGATTCCAGGTTATATACTAACAAAACAAAGATTGATTTAGGTAGTTAACTAGTTAACTTTAAAATATTTTTTGGTGCCTTTAGAAACTTTCCAAGATGAAAACTTCTAATAAAATCTAACCTAAGCTGAGCTTAAGTTTCCCAATCTACAATTACAATTTTTTGGCTTCCAAAGGGAAACTCCTATACGGCCTATACCTGCACTGCACCTGTAGGTTCAAAGCCAAACACTTTGCCCTACACTATAAAAGTACAGATATGGATTCACAAACTAAGGCACAGAGCATACACATGTGTTTGAAGAGCCAGAACATTGCAGCCAGAAGCAAGCTGAAAGTAAGGCCATAATTCTAATCAGTAAAGATATTTTAAAAATAGATGCTTTTCATCAGTCTTTTTGCATCTGCAATGTGACATTAAAAAGAAATAGAATTTTATGTTATCCTACAAATATTGTAATTGTAATACAAATATATATTATAATCTAGTAACTGGAGAATACTAAGTCTTAGTAGATTTTAAGTGCGATTCAATGATTATTTTTTTTTTCAGCCCAATAAGCTAAATGTAAACACTTGTTTGTTTCCTAAACTCATCTTCCCTTCTTGTTAGAATGAGTTAATAACAGATTTTTGCATTAAAGCAGGATGTGGTAATGTAATTCCCTGGGTTTAGTGTTACAACAAAAAGATTTTTTTAAAAAAAATATCATTGGAATAGTATTTTTAAGTCATGTCTATATTAACAAGTAATGCAATGCAGTAAGACAGATATGATGTTGACAAATGATGTTGAAGACTCAACAGTCACACCAGAAACATTTCACAGGTTTGTTTTGAAGCTACATGAATTCTTTTTCCCAGAGTATAAAACACGGGATATTTCAGGATTTATTTTTTAAACCTTTGAAATCAATATCAAAGGAGTACTATGCAGCAAATTTTAGCATTTAATATTTAAATTCCTGATTTTGACACAGAGAGATACATCCAGGTAACAGTAGCTACATATATTGTTTTACATCAACTTATATCAATATAATTCTAGAGATATTCTGCCATGACTAGCTTTTTTATCTTTAAAGTGTCTTACATCCACTTCACAGTACAGAATTAACAGAATTACTTGATCTGACTCTAACGCTTTGTTTTGCTTTAAACAATAAACTGACTTTTGCATAAGCCAGTTTTGCAGAAATACATGTAAAAAGAAATAATTTTCTTATAACTAGCTACCTCAAATATTCTAGTTCACTTTACAGATTATTTATCTATTATGTTCACTTCAAAGTAATTTCATTTAACTGAAGCATTTCACATATTAATCTATTTCTAAAAGGAATTTTTGATTAAGAGAGGGTATTGTAGTGTAGTTATTCCTATACAGCAACATTTTGTTTATGAAAATGACAAAGCATTTTGTAGATACCCATAAAACTAGATTTATTTTTCTCGTCCCCCATTTTGGCTACAGTTTTATTGAGGCATTTAAATACGGTCCATATGTCACGAAGTGTCAGATTCATTCTTCCTTCATAACAAGACAACTTTGATTACAGGAAAATTTGCCTGTTTGGTAGAATAAGGACTTTGTCCTAATTCTTTTTGACACCAGCCAGCTGGTCTTCTACATAAAAGATTCTGCTTAACAAAGATAATGTCTATAGGTGAGGAAAGTGAAAATGGAAATCATAGCAACAAAGAACAAGCAAATGCAGAGAGATATGCAACAGCTGCTAGAATCACATTACATCATTTTCACATGATTTCCTGTGGGTGTGAGGGCATAACATGACACTATAACATTATGGATTTGTTTCCCAAATGGCCAGGTAGGTCTCACTGGTGAGGTCCACCACCCACAGAGATGTGGCACAGCACAAATCTGGGTCTCAGATAATAGACTTTACTGGGATTAATATGAATGCCACACCAGTGCTGCCAGTAGATGGAAGACAAGGAGAATGGAGTTTACAGGAAGGAGCAACAGGTTGGAGAGGAGAAAATCATCAATGGACAGATTTTCTCCATAAAGTTTAGGACACTGTTAAGTAATGAACTAGAATTTCTTAATAACAGATTGCACTCGAATCCATGTCAGATAATCTGAATGTGCAGAATGGTTCTCACAGTTTAAAAACATAGTGAGTATACAGAAAAGAGCTGTCAACAACACTGTCCCTGAAATCTGAATGGGCAAAGCTACAAGATCGTTCCATAACTGTGTTTTAAAATATGCCTGATAAAAAGAACTGATTTGAAATTTCAGTGTATTGCCTTTTCAAAAAATAGTACCCAAAAATCCCAGGGAATAAGAAAGAAAGGACCTGTAGCTTTAACCTTCTTAAGGTTCCATTACAATACCCACTCAAAACAACCCTTCTACAGGAAACTAGAAATCATTAGGCTTCTCATAGTGACAGAATTTTCAGAAAAAAATGACAGGTTCTTTTCTTCTCTGTGGAAAGAGCCAGGCATATATTCAGGGATCCTTGTCCTTTCATATCAGAAGTTGCATTAAAAAAATCCCTTCCTAATTCCTAAATAAATTAAATAAATTTTGAAAATTGTTCTAGACTGTCTCTTCCCACCTTTCCCATCCATTTGTTTTCTTCCCAACCGTATGCTCTCCACTAAACCACTCCTAGTCTTAACTCCTAGAATTGTACATCCAGCTTCCAGACCTCTTGCCCATTTTTCAGTCAGTCTCAGAAATATGTAACTACGACTGCAAACAACAGAACAATCTGAAATGATATTTTAAACCAGGGCCAAAAGTCATTTAAAAAAAAAAAAAAGTTATGAATGTTATCATACCTTTAGCAAAATGAAATTTGAATGAGCTTGTTCAGCATTTAGAAAAAAAATCATGTAGAGAAAAATCAGTGTTACTGTCAGTATAAAACTTTCCCTATATTTTCAGAACATCTGTGTATTTATTTATTGGATTGAATGTTTTCATAAGAGGAACCCACTCCCACACTTGGCAGAATAATTTAATTTTTCTGATATTTCATTTACAGCCAGTCTTTCAATAATTGAAGTTGAGTCAATCTTACCTTGGGCAACTTCACTTCCTGAACTGATTGGTGCTACACTCCAGAGTGTCTGCTGGAAGGCTGCATCAACGTGTAAGCTACCATTGCCATAAGAGAGATGCTAAAACCAGGAAAGGAAAAGGCTTTTATTTGAGGTTAAAAAACTCATTACAGTATACAACAATAGTATCAAACATTTGCTTATTTCTTTCATATATAAATTGTTTCTATTGAATGTGTAAGTAAATTCTAAGTCAGACCCGGGTACTTTTCAAGAGGATATCAGAAATAAAGCTAGAATAATAACAGCATATTTGCCTCTGAGGGACATACACAAATGGCAGAATGGTTCAGCTGTTTGGGGTCTTAGCCCATAGCAAACACGCTGAAGAATTGATTATTAAATGCTGCAGGATTCTTACACTAGTATTCTTTATTCTAAATGCAATGGGATCTTCCACAAACTTTGAATATTGGGATGTGACATTAATCTGTATTTCAAGTGTAACTTACCACCCAATTATTTCTTGTGGGTCACTGGCTTCCTAAAATTGCCATCAGATCAAAGTAATCAAGTAACTTATTGTGTAAGGCACTTGAAGGGAGTTTCCAAAGCATATTCTTGCACACAGTTTTCATGGCCCAAGCAAACCTTGAACAAACTTTCCCTGAAAGACTCATTTCCTACCTAAGCACTCAATCTACACTCTTCTATTACTGTTACTCCTTTTCTTCTGTCAGTGTTGCAGAACTTTGCAGTGAGTGCCACAAGTGCTTTTTCTTCTTAGAATTCTTCACATGTGTGTTCCAAACAGGTCAGTGACACTGTCTTACAAATTCTAATCTCAAGGCATATAATATCACTCCGTGCAAAATCATTTGTCCCACACCATCAGCCAGTTCCATTGATATACTGTTAGTGCCAAACTACATAATCTTATATGAAACCATGGAACCAAGCACTCTATAAATAAGCAGCTGCTTTGAAATATACTGTTTATCCTTCTAGGTAATATTTTTTCAAGTGCAGTAACATTTAGACACTTTTATCAAAACTTCAGTTTAAAGTATGGACAGTAACAGTGTTTATACAGTGGTATTTAGCTCTGGTTTTGTATGTTATGACCAACATTTAACACCTTCTGGGTAAAATGATTAAACACGCAAAAGAAAAAAAATGGCAATGGAGATCAAAAAGGGGTAGATTCAAAATGACATGTGGAGAGTTCTGTCTTCCTGCCTGCATATCTAGCTGTGCAGCAGTACAAGAAATGATGCGTAAGCTCATTTAGAAAGCTCCCACGATAGCTAATGACATACAAAGTAAGAGGTTTCACAAAAGCCATGTTTTCACTGCACCAGTGTCATTCAGCACCTGTAATGGAGGACGTTCAATGAACAAACCACCAGTTCGCTTCTTATTTTCTTCCGTCTTGCAGTTGTATAACTCAGCCAATGGCAGACCAGGCTGAGAGATGAAAATCCCCAGCACACCTCCAATCTCATTCCTGCCTTGTGTACATTAATTTTGTTAGGTTTCCTGTGAGACCACTGCACAGATTCTACTTAGGGACAATGAGCCATTCCAGCCAGTACAGGGAAGCAGGAATATTATTTTCTGAGGAAAACACATCATTCAGGTTAGGCAAAAGAGAAAGAGGACAACTCCACTGTCATTTATACCTGCTATCAACAGAGCATTTCTTGTAACTGTGGGCTTTGTACATGTTAATGAACTTATTTTCACACATAATGGTATCAACTGAATTAGCATTTCATTTTATGGATAGGACACTGAACAAAAATACATTGCTGACACATCTCTTCAGAGTACCTATTACTTTTATCCATTCGATTTCCATTGCAGCTCTGATTACTCCGTGATTATAACCCAGACTTCTCAAGCTGAGTCACCAGAGAATTATATCTTTTAAAAGTATGGCTTAAATGACCTAATACAACACATAGCCACCACAGCAGAGAAATCAAGAGTGTATCTCTGCAATTCTCTTCTTTGCTTCGCTTCCTCAGATTGCTTACTGCATCCTTCAATTTACAATTGAAGGCAAGGGTCCTGACATTTACAGTTCCATAAGCTATGATATTTATCTCCTGGAACAATCCATAGCAAACAATAAAATGAAGCTTTAACCATGTAGAGAAAGTACACTGCCAATGGATATTCAAAGAGTCAATTACATCAAATGTATAGAAAACAAACCCAACAGAGAAGAGATGCCAGTTTTAATCCTGGCATTGCCTAACTTCTCAGTGCTATACTTTGCAATCCCAATGTTGCTTTAAAGCAATCTGCTGCCTATCTGTAGCTTATTTGGAGTTTATCTGCTTGGTTTGTGTAATTTCAGCACAATAAAACTATCAAAATGAAACAAATTTCATAATGCAATGTCCAGGACGTGGACATGACACGATGTTGAGCAGGCTCCATACCTACTACACAGAGCTTTTCTAACTGGCATAACAGAGTATTTGGCAGAAGTTGCAGGTTGCCATCGTCAACAAGGACCACATGAGTACCAAGTGGCTTTCAGGTATGTATTTTCTGCACTGATGTCCAGGCTTAACTAAAAAGTTTTGTCTTCTCTATTAACAGACTAATAACCTCCTAAACTAGCATTTAACCTGACACAGGTTTTTAATCACTTTTCAGAATTATATTACCTTATTTTATGAATACAAGTTCACACTATAGTCTACAGGCAGCTTTTCATAGATTAAGTCCAAGACTCAAATCTCCCAGAGTACTACAGGTTTCCCAATTTACCATCATGTTATAAACTCTGGACTGCTCTGCGGACAAGCAATACAATCACATCTCTGTTCCTAGTTTTTCAGGAAGAACACGGTGTATTCAAGCTCACTGGAGATCTTAGGAATCAGATGGTAATTTCCATAAGAACCCTTCATCAGTGATTGCAGCAGCATAGCTGCATTTACAACAGCTCTAAATAAGTAAATTATGTATTCTCCATTTCACAGTCAGCCTGCATCAAAATTTCTGTTCTCCAAAACATGCCTGTGTGCAAAGACAAAAACATAAAGAAAAGAAAATTTTTGCTCCAGGCTTCCTCTTGGCTAAGGTGTGTCAATGCTGAGAACTCATGTAGCAGTTATCTATTTCTATTGGCACTTTACATTATGATGCCTCTGCTTTCAATCTCAGGCCATTCCAAACAGCAAGGGTAGCAAAAGAAAAATACCCAAGAAAGTTTATTTTCTGGTACATTTTGAGAACTATGAACAAGGTCAAGCACTTCCCAGAATGCTTAAGTACTGCACACAACAGCATCACACTGCTTCAAAAGTTAGTACCTGCTGGTGCAGAGATACACTGTCTCTAGAAGCAAATATAAACACTTCTTATCATCCTACTTATCAGGTGTCATTTCTACTGAAATTTATTACCTGAGTCAGTGAAAAAGTATTCTGTAAGACTGAGTATTGTATTGACTGTCAAAATAAATGAAAAAATTCAGTCACAAGGAAGGGAGATATTGGAAAGAACTAGAAGTAATAACTGCATCTGTATGAAGTTTTTATATCATTAGGTATTTGTGTTTACATCTAAAAGTGGCACTACATTTATATTCACTGCAACATCTATGAATATTTTTTTACAGTTCTAATAAATATGGGTAAACTTACACTGCAAACCAAAAAAAAAGTTATTATCTAAGTCTTGACTCAGAGTAGGCAAGGCCAAATAAATTTCAGATGGGTGTAAAGCTCTACAAAATCCTAGTTTCTTTGCATTTCTCTGAAGTGGTTTAAACACTCAGCGAGCAAATCAGAGAATTCTTCCACTGACAAAGAAAGAGAATTGCCAGCCCTATAGTAACCAATTCTAGTCCCTCCACTCAGCATAAATATGCCATCAGCAAAATAAGAATAGTAGTCCAAACCCACAGATACACAGAAATTACTGTTACAACTCAGGCATCAAGAATCAGCTTGTCCACTATCACATAACTGACAGCAGGTAGTAGCAGGTGCGTGGCAGGAAAGCATAAGGATCCCACAGAGGGTAGATGGGGGTAGTCTGCATTCCCCCTCTTTATATTACCTTTCTTTCTGGGCTATAATCACGGAAAGCCTGAAGCAGATCAGCTACTGAGCTTCCAAATTATTATAATTTGCTATGATTAGACACGAGAACTTTCATTAACAAAATATTAATTTTACAGAAGCAAGCATCAAAAGCTAGGGAATGTCGAGCAAAGTAGCCTATAGAAAAAGAATGGCTTCTGGTGAACGCGTCATGTCACAGTCTCCAGTGGCATCATCCTGTGCAATTTTTTTCCACAACTGCTGCGTCACTGTATATCCAGGATGAAGGAGCTCACTTCATGAACAGCTGCTCTGTGCTTTGTTTTCTTCCTCAATCTTCAGTCTGCATGCTCATGCTCTATTCACTGCAGTCAGTTCTTCAAAGCTTTGAAAATTAATTTCCTCATAGGTTTTTCTCTTGCTACCAGCAACTATAACATTCACAAAACACAACATATATTTATAAATTCAATTTCTCAAAACCCCAAAGGAGTAGCATTATAGCCCATTTTCCAATGGGGAGTGGAGGTACATAGATCACACTAAGAAATATTCATTAATCCAGGATGAACAAGCTGAGGTGACAGGGACCTGTTTAATTCCCACTGTAGACTTCATTATATGCAGTTTTAATGTTCAAGCCACATCTTCTATTCACCTCAGTTGTATGTACCAAGACTGAGCGACTGAGACCTCAGCCTCTAGCAGAAGGACGAGAGCTCAGAGTCACAACTCAGGTGACGGATATTCCTGGTAAGGGCTGAACAGTTAGTGACGTCTTGAGAGCCGGCCTGGTAGACAAGAAGACCTGTTCAGCAATTTCTGCAGCAGAGTCTGGTACAAAAGTCTCCAGGAAAATAATTAACTAAGCATCATACCACCAATTCTCCACCTGGAATTCCCACCTTGAAAAGTCATCTTAAAAGCTGCTTCATTCTACAGCCTCATTGCTACTCAGCACTAGCACATCCATCATTATCAGTATTGAGATAATATTCTATAAAAACCCGTTGTGATTGCATTTTTAAGAGTTTTCATTAAAATATATGCCATAATTCTTGCATTTTCTAATGCTTGTGTTTTTTCAAAATTTCAGATTTTTTTTTAAAAATGTACTTATTATTTTAAAATTAACAAAAAAAGAGGTGGGGAAAAAACCCTTCAGTAACACTAGGTGGCATCACACTGACATGCACATGAACCACAGGCAGAGAAGGAAACTAAACTCATTTTTACATATCTGCCACCTGAACTCAAAACCACCAACAGGTGTAGGCTGTCAGCATACTATGGGTGACTACTGTGCCTTTTAATACAATGAGTTTCCTCTATAGTTGCTGATAGCAGTTATCTAGCCTAAGTGCTCCAGGCCTCTCCCACTCTCTTCTCCTCTCCAAATCTTTACACCAGTCCCATGTCTGTCACCTGTTGGCCAATCCATCTTTCCAGACTACCTAGAGCCTACCTTATCACCCAGAATTAGGACCTCCTCCTACCTTAAAAGGTTCTCCTCAGATCTACAAAGCCTCAGCATGGCCTTTTTGCTTTTTTCTTGCTCAACCTCTTCCTTTTCATATCCATGAGCATTAGACTTCTTTCCAGAAGCTCACCACAACTCCTGCTCCTCCACTATTTTCTCATTTCTTGACTCGAGACTCTCCCAGCAGTTTGGTTCTCCCCAGCCAGCCTACCCCTTCTCTACAGATCTCTCGTGTCGTCCTTCATTCCCCGTCCCACTCCACTGGTGCTTCTAACAACTCTCTGTTGCCAACTCTCTGTGCTGCCAAAACAACACAGGTTTTCTGCCCCAGATTTCTAACACAAAACTTGAAACAGCAGGTGCCCACTCCTCCTTTGTCACCAGCTTCTTATACAGGATGATTTGTTAGCCCCTCAGTGCCTGCCTGCCTTCAGCTGCTAATCTTTTCAGCCACTCATCAAGTCCCACTCAGTTTTCCCTCCTTCTCACTTCAGTCCCAGGTTCCTGTCCCTGCTACATCACCTGCCTTTTGTTCCTTCTACTTTCTCATATCTTCCTCCTCCACATGCCCTTAAAGGAATGCAGATCACCAGCACGATCACCAGCACCACATAAAACATTTGAGTTTTCAGCTGTCAACACAGTGCCTGAATTCATCCTTACCTTGAGACACCCATTACAATGTATTTTGGGTTCCACCAGGGTGGGAGTGTATTTAATTATTTGCTGTAGAGGGAGTTTAAGCAGCTCGTTAACATGTAGGAGGTGCAAGAGGTCTAGATTATGCAAAATAGACAGAGTCATCAGACTTTTAGCTACTAAAAGAAAATTTTAAAAATACTTCCTGGGCATGACAAAGCTGCATTATTTCAGGATAATGTTTCTTTATTAAGTTTAAGCAAAGAGAGTTTTGTTATCCTTTTTTCTCCTTTTTCATTTTTTAAGTTAGCAAAAAGTACACCTGTGATATCAAGATATCTGTCCATCAGGCTGCACTGCCTCAAGACAGGAAACAAAGCAACTCTGGTCTGAACTTAAAAGGTGGCAATATTTATAACAGAACATCTTTTCACCCTATGTCAAAGTAGTTCAGCAGAGCCAAGTTTCCACTCTGAAGAATCTGGCAATAATGCAGCTCACACGTTATATAATGTCACAAGTACTTATGTTAGTGCTGCTTCTCAGAAATTCTACACACAAAAAAAAAATAAGCATCCAAAATCCCATTGTATAGATAGAGATAATGAGAGACAGAGCAACTGTTTGACTTGCCCAGGGACATTGCTGTGAGTCAACAAACAGCCAAAATCCACATCTCCAGACCTTTAGCTTACAATTTTAAGACCAATCTTTCAATCACTTTAACACTTGTTCACTGCAATTAAGACGGTGACTCTTCAGAGCAAACAAAATCAATTGTCTCAAATTCCTTTTTGGATGGAAAGTGGGGATTGGGAACTATAGGAAAAATGTTCCCACAGTAATGTAAGTATTACTAAGAAAAATGTAATTTTTAATACTTAATTTTCTTAACACTATTCTATTTCTTAATAGTGATTGCCAGCCACATTTGGCCTAAACACTAATCTACTGATTACACTGAGAACATAAAGTCACAAAGTCGGTGGGGAAAAAAAAGAAATTAAGCTGCACTCAAGGCAACTAAATAACTTTGGAAGCTGACATAGTTCTACTCTCCCCTTGTGTTATACAAATTCAACTAAGATCTCACTACATTTTGAAAAAGCCATACTCTGTGAATGCACAATATTCATGTTATTTTTACACGCATATTTTTTGCCCAAGATTGTTAACCTAGTTATCTTAATTTGGAGAGCATTAGGAAGATGCTTGGAAACACAGAGCAATATTGCAATATAGAAAAGATGACACACCAGCCCTATTCCAAACAGCATATTGACATAGAACATTTGATGGAAAGACTACCTTTTCCTGAGGTTTTAAATGAACATACACAAAGTATTTAAACCTAACCCTCAGCGTCCTGCTGA